CCCACAGAAGGACACAACCAAGTTTCACTGTAGGCACCATGCATATTTCTTTGTACTCCTCACCATTGCGATGCCATACAGTTTTTGAAACCAGTTCCAAAAGCATTTATCTTGGTCTCATCACTGCAGAGTACAGAGTCCCAGTAGTCTTTTTCAGCATTTGCCTTGGCAAATTCTAGGTGGACTTTTTTGTGCATGGGCTTTAGGAAAGACTTACTTCATGGACAACACCCATGCATGCCATTCCTCTGCAGTGCACGCCATATTGTGTCACAGAAAACAATCACCCCAGTTTGGCTTTCTACTTTTTTTAGCTAGCTACAGTGAACTTGCATAGTGATTTTCTTCAATCTTTATCATCAGAAAATGCTCCTTTCAAGGTGTTAATGTCCGTAGATGGCCTGGACGTCTCTCTGAGATGGTTGCAGTTCCATCTTTGTTAAATTTTTGTATCACTTTTGCTACAGTATTCTGACTGATAAGTAAAGCTTTGCTGATCTTCTTGTAGCCTTCACCTTTGTTGTATAAACAATATTTTTTCTTTTCTCAGGCCTTGTGACTTTCTCTTCCATGTGGTGCCATTGCTGACAGTATGAAATGGGAAGGAGTTTTTTTTTTGTTAGGTAACGCCCTTTTATTATCAACTGTCTGTTGGACACTTGTATAATGAATAATTAGACACCTGTAGTTTAATTGTTGTTAATTAGGATTTTGTTGTCTAAAATTTAGCTTTGCTCCTAAGACTTTCATTGGGGTGTATTCATTTTGCAACATGATCTTGAATTAATTTCTTAGGAAAAATACTTTTTAGTGTGTGCAAATTAACAATCTGCAGACAGTGCAGGGGATGACCAGAGACTGCAGACAGTAAAGGAGATTAACAGACTGCGTACCTTTGGGGAGGGGGCGCGGGTACCTGAATTTGACAGGTACCCGCTCCCACTTCCATGGAGTTGTCCTTCCTTCTTCCCACGGCGGCTTCTGTGACAGCCGGGTGCCCACTGCGCATGTGCGAGAAGTGCTGCGCTTTGTGAATGGCCCAGAGCCTTCTGGGACCTGTCAGGTGTCCCAGAAGACGCCGGTGTAGCAATCTTGCGCTCAGATATGGACGCAGTGCCACCATTTTGTCAAGGCACATCCAATTTGATAAGAGCATACATTTCTCCCTCAATCCTTCATTCCCTACCCCCTCCCTTCCTGAGAGGCACAGGGACAGATGTGTGTGTTAAAAGAGTCACTGGCAGGCTGGAACAGCAGGGGGCCCAGAATTACAAAGCCCCCCATAGAGACAGCAGACTCTCTGTCCCAAAGCCCGTGTAAGCTCGCACCTCCTAACCAAGATAAGGCAGCTGTTCCCAGGACTCAAGAAATTGGAACCTCATAAACCCTACAAGCCAGGTGACAGAATTTAAATGCACATTCCTCAGGTCAGCTGTCACCTATGTTTCATATCATGGATTATGAAGCTGTTGGTTTTAATTCAGAGTCCACCCGACATCCCTCCTTAAACAGAAATTGGCCAGTTACTCAGAGCCACCCCCCTTGCTGGGGGACTTTAAAAAAACACACGCTGTAGGCCTAAAGTAAGCTAAACACATCTCCCAGTTTTAACATCGTATCAGTAGGAGATCAAAGACCCTTCGCTCTGCAACTTGGATCTGCTTACCTTAAGGCTGAACATGGCAAGTAACTTAACCATTTAACTTCTCCCTGTTATCTCTTTGCTGTGCTGTTTTCTATGTATATATAAATATATATCTTAGTTATATCTTTTTCTGTAAATATTTTATTGCACCTGTTTGACTCTTTTAGTAATAAATCTCTCTTTCTGAAAGTGTTAAACTGTTTCTAAGCGCTTAATTGCAATTTACGAATTCTTGCCTTTGAAGAGACGCTACTGTTTGTTTTAATCTCTGTATAACGGGCCTTCGGACCGCGTCATATAGACCATTATTTCAATCATTATAGTGTATATTTGACAAAGAGAGTTTCCTTTTTCTCTGTACAAAAGAAGGTGGTGGCAGTGTGAAAGGGTTAGTTGCGTAATTAACCCAACCCAGTAACAAGCGCATTCAGACTACAGGCACCGAGTGTAGTCCAGTAGCTGGACAATTGCTGTGTAGGGTGCAGCTGGGTGTGGCATTGTTACGCACGTCACATCGCGGTTTTAGATCGGCCGGTCCTTTGGTCACGAGTTTGGTGAGAAGGTCTGGGGTCTGACGCCGCGGGCATGACGTATTGTTGGTCGCTGTCGTGCGATTGTCGCATGTTGAGGGTGGCGATCCTGTGATCGTGACAGCCGGACCATTCACAAAGCGCAACGCTTCTCGCGCATGTGCAGTGAGCACCCGGCTGTCACAGAAGCCGCCGCGGGAAGACTGCAGCGCTGGAGCGAGGAACAGGTAAGGTCCTGCAGAAGAGAAGAGCTGAGCGGCCGGCCCGATATTCCAACATGGTGGCGGGAGAAATACCGGACTGGCCGCTTTACATTCACTCCATAAGATGCACTGACATTTTCCCCCCTTTTTTGGGGGGGAAAAAGTGCATCTTATGGAGCGAAAAATACGGTGTATGTATATATATATATATATATATATATATATATATATATATATATATATATATATATAAAGACATGTTATACTTACCTGCTTTTCACAATGGTTTTGCACAGAGTAGCCCCAATCTTCCCCTTCTAGGGTCTCCCGCAGGCCATCCTGGCCCCTCCCCCAACTGAGTGTCCACCATAGCACCACAGCTATGGGGGCACTCGTATGGGTTCTGTATGTTTAGTGGCTCCTGCTGCTGTCTATAAGCCAATAATAAGAGAGGCAGTTGAGAGCCTCTGCTCTCATGCACATCGCTGGATAGAGATTGAGCTCAGGGGAGTATTGGGGGGCTGGGGGTGCACTCAGAAGGCTTTTTTACCTTCATGCAAGAAGGTAAAAAAAACTGTCTGCATTAACAACCACTTTAATAATTATTCAAAAAACTGCTCATTTGTTTTTCTACTGGGTTTCAATACCTGCTTGATTTTTACTGCTTCAACAATATGGCAACCATCATAGTTTGCCCAAACTAAAATAAATGCACCAACTCAGAAGGCTTTTTTACCTTCATGCAAGAAGGTAAAAAAATCTGTCGTGCAATTAACAACCACTTTATGGGGGACCAACATTTGTGAGGTAGGCCTTGGAATGCACCTCTACCAAATCATTCCACAAATCTCAAACCCTATGCCTGAGAAGTTAGTCCACAGTATAGTGATAGACTCTGAAACAGCGACGAGACAATTGTACCTGGGTTTGGTTCAGGCCAGGTTCACTGAACTGTACTGAAACTTGGGTACTAAATCCAAAGACAACAAATCTTAGAGATCACTGTTAGCCATTTTCTAGGCAAAAAAGCATTTTTTTTTTTTTATTCTAATCTGTTTTTTTTACCAGGCTTAAAGTTTTCAATTTAATTTAGCCAAATACATGTAATTAATTGAATATGGATCAGGTGTGATTAGTGTAATTCAAAAAGTTTGCATCTAAGCTTGATTTTAAGCATCTGGCCAAAGCTAATCACAGGTAATGTGATTAGATGCATTGCAAATACAGTTGTGTTCAAAATAATAGCAGTTCAACATCGCTAACCAGATCAATCGCGGTTTTTGGTAAAATTTATTTCTACATGGCAAACAATTTACTAGTAGGTGTAGTAGAGTAATAGAAACGTAATAGACCCAACAGTCATGACATGAATGCTGCTGATTCTGTGTAATTGAATCATTAATTGAAAGGGGTGCGTTCAAAATAACAGCAGTGTGGAGTTTGATTAGTGAGGTCATTCAGTCTGTGAAAAACAGGTGTCAAACAGCTTGCCCCTATTTAAGGATGAAGGCAGCAAATGTTGTACATGCTGGGCATAGTGCATTTCTCTCTTAAAATCTGAGTAAAATGGGTTGTTCCAGATACTGTTCAGAACACAACACTTTGATTAAAAAGTTGATTGGAGAGGGGAAAACCATATAAAGAAGTGCAGAAACTGGTAGGCTGCTTAGCTAAAATTATCTCAAATGCTTTGAGATGGCAACCAAAACAAGAAAGATGTGGAAGAAAATGGAAAACTACCATTCAAATGGATCGGCAAAGACTCAGATCCAAGATGATCAAAGAAGGTCTAAAGTTACCTGTTAACTTTTGTACATTGTGAAGACAGTGAAGTATGGTGGCGCAAGCATATGGGGATCTCATACTATGGTGCTGGGCTTATTTATCGCATACCAGGGATTATGGATCAGTTTGAATACATCAATCATGTTGCCTTATGCCGAAGAGGAAATGCCCTTGAAATGAGTGTTTCAACAAGAAAACGACCCCAAACACACCAGAAAGCGAGCACCATATTGGTTTCAGACCAACAAGGTTAACATTATGGAGTGGAAAGCCCAATCCCTGGACCTTAATCCAATAGGAAACTTGTGAGGTGACATAAAAAATGCTGTTTCTAGGTAAAGCCAAGAAATGCAGAGGAATTGTGGAATGTAGTCCTGGGCTGGAAAACCTGATCACAACTAACAGAAGTTGGTCAACTCCATGCAACACAGATGTGAAGCAGTTATACAACTATTAGCTCAGTGATTCACAGGAAAGCTAAATCTTCAAGCATTTTTCAGTTTATACAGTAAATGTTTGAGTTTGTAAAGAAAAATGCAGACACTGCTACTTTTTTGAACGGCCTTATATTCCTTTTTCTTCACTTTCTGTAAAGTAACAACACATTTGGAACATTTTTCTTCATGGTTTGATTTGGAATAGACTGTGCAGTGTTCCCAATGCTTTTGCATGTATGAAAATAAAAGCTATTTTAAGGATTTTGAGCTTTACTCGCTTTTTTTAAACACGCTATTATTTTGAACACAACTGTAGATGCAACAAAGGAGTAAATGCATATTCACTTCCACATAGGGCCTGGTTAAGTTTTTCTTCCAGACATTTTATAGGGAACAAAATATGTAGACCAGGGATGTCAAACTGGTGGCCCTCTAGCTGTTGCAAAACTACAAGTCCCATCATGCCTCTGCCTTTGGGAGTCATGCTTGTAACTGTCAATTTTGCAATGCCTCATGGTAGTTTGGAAACAGCTGGAGGGCCGCCAGTTTGACACCCGTGATGTATATACCTTTGAGCTGCATACACAGACATAGTATCCCAGCATCCCCACAATGACTGCCTGAGATAAAACCCATGAGGCCATTATTGCAATCATTCATGCCTGGGCCAAGATACAGGACACCCATGCTGTAATATTGTGATTTTGTTGGGAATCATTTTCAATGGCTGACAAAGAAACACGTGGTGAGTAAAAAACAAATGTATATGCATTTATTGTAAAGTGCCTGTTAGCAATAGATGTATACTTTAAATAAGAGCATATGTTACTATTTGGAGTCCAGCTACTCATCCCCCATGTCTTTAAAGGCCCCTTTGAAGAAGTCGCCTTTTGATGTAATGTGTAGGACAGAGCTCTTTTACCAGACATCATCTGACTCATCTGAACTGTGAGCCTGACAATGCAGGTAGTGGTGAGCCACAGCATTCAAACACACTCTATATACTGTTAAGCCTGCTTATGCCTAACATTGTGAGTGTGGTTTTTAAGTAGTTCTACTATATTATATTAACAAATCTGATATTAGAGTTAACTTTCACTTAATGTCATATGCGTTAATATATTAAAGCAGATGGTTACATGGCATACATGCATGCCACTTCCATCATGTTCACTTGTCAGGAGGGACTTCCGTTCTTAAAACGCCAACCTTGGCCCATACAACTGTGAAGCAGTTATACAACTATTAGCTCAGTGATTCACAGGAAAGCTAAATCTTCAAGCATTTTTCAGTTTATACAGTAAATGTTTGAGTTTGTAAAGAAAAATGCAGACACTGCTACTTTTTTGAACGGCCTTATATTCCTTTTTCTTCACTTTCTGTAAAGTAACAACACATTTGGAACATTTTTCTTCATGGTTTGATTTGGAATAGACTGTGCAGTGTTCCCAATGCTTTTGCATGTATGAAAATAAAAGCTATTTTAAGGATTTTGAGCTTTACTCGCTTTTTTTAAACACGCTATTATTTTGAACACAACTGTAGATGCAACAAAGGAGTAAATGCATATTCACTTCCACATAGGGCCTGGTTAAGTTTTTCTTCCAGACATTTTATAGGGAACAAAATATGTAGACCAGGGATGTCAAACTGGTGGCCCTCTAGCTGTTGCAAAACTACAAGTCCCATCATGCCTCTGCCTTTGGGAGTCATGCTTGTAACTGTCAATTTTGCAATGCCTCATGGTAGTTTGGAAACAGCTGGAGGGCCGCCAGTTTGACACCCGTGATGTATACCTTTGAGCTGCATACACAGACATAGTATCCCAGCATCCCCACAATGACTGCCTGAGATAAAACCCATGAGGCCATTATTGCAATCATTCATGCCTGGGCCAAGATACAGGACACCCATGCTGTAATATTGTGATTTTGTTGGGAATCATTTTCAATGGCTGACAAAGAAACACGTGGTGAGTAAAAAACAAATGTATATGCATTTATTGTAAAGTGCCTGTTAGCAATAGATGTATACTTTAAATAAGAGCATATGTTACTATTTGGAGTCCAGCTACTCATCCCCCATGTCTTTAAAGGCCCCTTTGAAGAAGTCGCCTTTTGATGTAATGTGTAGGACAGAGCTCTTTTACCAGACATCATCTGACTCATCTGAACTGTGAGCCTGACAATGCAGGTAGTGGTGAGCCACAGCATTCAAACACACTCTATATACTGTTAAGCCTGCTTATGCCTAACATTGTGAGTGTGGTTTTTAAGTAGTTCTACTATATTATATTAACAAATCTGATATTAGAGTTAACTTTCACTTAATGTCATATGCGTTAATATATTAAAGCAGATGGTTACATGGCATACATGCATGCCACTTCCATCATGTTCACTTGTCAGGAGGGACTTCCGTTCTTAAAACGCCAACCTTGGCCCATACAACCCCTAATGCTTGCACAGTTCCAGTCCCAACACAAATGTTCCAGCCAGCATAACCTACTTTGCTATTCTGAATGCCTTTCTCCTGGCACGAGAAAATCAGTATTAAAAATGTGCCTAAAGAGAAGATCAGGTGCATTGAGTGTTTTAGTGTTCATTTATTTAATTGGCCAGAATATTATTTATTTATATTACTGAAGGGAATGAGCACTCAAGTGCTAAACGCACCTGTTTAGGTGTGTTTAGGCATGTCAGGCAATTTTTCTGCCCAAATGCTCCTCTGCTGAACACAAAAAGTGATAATTTTTTTCTGCCTCTAAAGATCTGTAAACGTTTATGTATGTAAGGACACATAGGGAGGGAATTTACTTAAATTGGAGCACCCAGAATCAAGTGCAGCTGTGCATGGTAGCCAATCAGCTTCTAACATCAGCTTGTTTAATTAAGTTTTGACAATAAAATATGGACACTGATTGGTTTCTATGCAGAGCTGCACCAGATTTTGCATCATGCAGGCTTAGTAAATAACCCCCCATAGGCTAACATAGAGGGCAAATGGCTCTAACAACCACACTTTTAATTCCCAGTGTGCTTAGGCCTTATTACTAGGATTTGTAACAATTTGTCATTAATCTTTTTTTGTTTAAATTTACTGTAATGTTACCTTTTTGTAAAAAAAAAAAAGTAAAAATTCATAAATTTAAATACTTCTAACAAAATTGCCAGTGTTTAGATAAGAATGTTTTAATTCCAAAGAAGGCATATTGGGCATATTTGTGTAGGTTTGTATTTCTACATCTCCAAAAAATTACAATAGTTTTAACTAGTTTCCGACCGCTCTATAGCCAAAAGATGGCTACAGTGCGGTCGGCTAGTTATGGGAGGGCGTCCATGGACGTCCTCTCTGAACCGCACCCCCCTGGGGTGCACACTGTGAGCAATCTGTAATCGCTGTGTCCTTCTGATCACATGACTAAGGAACGGGAAAATCACAGCCACTTTTACCTTGTGACCAGCTGTGTCCAATAACAGCTGATCACTGGGTAAATAGCAAATGCCGGTTATCGGCAGGTCTCTCCTCACGCTGACAGCGCGTGAGGAGAGCCAGTAAGCAGCATTTTGCAGGGGGAGACATCTACACTGATCATCAGGGCACTGATCATCAGTGTCCTGGTGATCAGTCTAGCCCCATCAGTGTGGCCAATAATGCCTATCAGTGCCCATCTGTACTGGCAATCAGTGCCCATCAGTTGAAACAATGACCATCAGTGCTGCCTATCAGTGCCCATTAGTGCTGCCAATCAGTACCGCCTAACCATGCCCATCTATGCCATCCATCAGTGTGTGCAGTCTCATCAGTGGCCATCAGTGCAGCATATCAGTGTTCATCATTGAAGGAGAAAAATGACTTATTTACAAAACTTTATAACAGAAACTAAGAAAAACTTTTTTTTCAAAATTTTTGGTCTTTTTTTAGTTTTGTTTAGCAAAAAATAAAACCCCCCAGTGGTGATCAAATACCACCAAAAGAAAGCTCTATCTGTCTCAAAAAAATTATAAAAATTTAGTATGGGTACAGCGTTGCATGACCACGCAATTGTCATTCAAAGTAGGAGAGCACTGAAAGCTGAAAATTGGTCAGGGCAGGAAGGGAGAAAAAAATGCCCAGTAGGCAAGTGGTTAATAACATTAGCAAACAAGATAAGGGATGAGACATTAAAGATGGATTATAAATATTAATTTTGCCAATACACTTGACCTTTATTACTTTCAAAGAAATCTGCACACTGGCTGCGTACACCCATAGGTTGACAAGTTGGAAGTAAGTTTACAAAACTCAAAGAATCTTGTGTGCTAAATGTTAATGTATTTTTTTTGCCAGTGCATTCCTTTGCTGCCCAAGAAATTGTCAAAAATGCAGCATGCTAGAACGACATGTGTTGCATGTGTGACATCATGCACTTTTCCGGGTGTACAGTACATGCCTAGATTAGGGCCGCAACCAGGAGTAGGTCTGGTCAGATGTGCCAGGTAGGGGTCTTGCTGACATGACATTGAGAGCTCCACTGTACAGTCTTTTTCCCATGCTTAAGCTTTGGAAAACCTGGGATTCAGAGGAACTTCCAAGTACTTCCAAATCCACAACCAGGAAGCGCATATTTGAGTTTCACAGCATCATATGTACTGTAGCAAAGAACTTTTTATAGTTCTAAAATCTTGAACCCAAATTTGAAGGCTTGAGCAAGTTAAGATGTTTGCCATCTAAGGCATCGATACAGTTTGGAAAATGTATCTTTTCCCAGAATTCATCCCCTACTTCTTCCCACAGCTGAGCAGCTGACCCAATAGCTGAGCAGTCTTCAGATCACTTGAACATCGCCCATGTGCCCTGCCATGCTTCCAAGGCTCTGCAGACCTGCATGATGGGTGCCACCAATAGAAGGGAGGGAGATCAGCAAACACCTATTCACTGATCTCCCCTTCCTGTTAATGACTTGGAAGCAACGTGTAAAACACCACTTCTGGGTCCTGTTGGAATGACTATTTCACATTGTTGGACATCTTGGAGGGACACTAATCCACTTTTTTGTAATCATTGGTGAGTTGAGAAAAAGGCATGGGCATTGATTGCTGGTATTCATGGCAACTTTTTGAATCTCAGTAATTAGTTGCATAATATTTGAGCTTTTACATTTTAGATTTTTTTTGTATTTTTCAAACATTTTTGATGCTTCCCTGAGTAGTACCAATTGATGGGAAACATAAAATCCATTGGAATGTACAGTTGCAAGAAAAAGTATGTGAACCCTTTGGGATTACGTGGAGTTTTGCATGAATTGGGCATAAAATGTGCTCTGAATGTCATCTAAGCCACAACAATAGAAGAACACAGTCTGCTGAACATAATACTACACAAACATTAGATGTTGCCATGGTTTAATTGCACATAACATGCATTTAGGAGCAGAAGAAAATACTCTGGTTTGTGTTTTTGAGAGCAATTTTCTGTCTGAATAAATAATCACTCCTACGTACTTCTAACCGCTGCTAAGAGGTGGTAAGCATCGGGTAGTTAAGGATGACTCGTCAGCTGTCATGAAAGCATTAAATTAAAAAAAAAACTGCATGTGGGGCTCCCCTCCAATATCTACCAGGCCTTCGGGTCAGGTAAGGATTTTAAGAGGAATCTAAAGCTAAAAAGTTTTAAAAAATTCAGTGGGGTCCATCCCAAAATCCACACCAGACCCTGAGGTCTGGTATGGATTTGGAGGGGACCCCACACCACAGTCTAAAAAAAACTGCATGAGGTCTCCCCAACATCCATGCCAGACCCCTATCCAAACATGCAGACTGGCAGGCCAGGAAATGGGGGGGGGGAACAAGGAAGTGCCCCCATTCCTGGCCATACCAAGCCAGATGCCCTCAACATGGGGGGGGCGTTGTCCCCATGTTGCTGTGGACAAGGGCCTCTTCCCCACAGCCCTGGGCGGTGGTTGTGGAGGGTCTGTCAAAAATAGAGAAAAAACACAAAAACAGTTTTTGACAAGTCCTGTATTAAAAAAACAAAAACATGTCCAAAGTTAATCATGCTGCCGTCGACCCGAAAAAAGAAAAAAAAAAGCTCCACACCCAGCACTGGCTCCCGCTGTCTGACTGTTCTGTTTCGTAAATAAACCAAGGGGGTGGGACTACCCAATGATGTCACCTGGTGACCCCACCTCTTCTCACATCATCGACAGGGCATGCTGGGAATCCCACTTACAGCTGATTAGTCATCAGTTGTTAAGGATTCGGGCAGCCGCACGTTACTTAGTAACCACTGTTCACTGCTAAATGGCAGCAAAACTCTGGCACAAAAACTGAAAAACTCCAGCAAAAAAATCGCTAGTATCAGCATTTTTAACCAGCATTTTTTTTCTGTGTTTTTTAAAGCTCCTAGTGTGCATGGAGCCTTAATTGGCTATTAATTTTTACCTTGTAATTTATGGCTGCAGTCCTGATTAAATAATTCCAAAAACTGAACAGAAGCAACCAGTGAATGATGTAATTTAATCTTCTGCTGAGTGCTGGGCAGAGTGCTATGAGTTTTCACTGATGGACTGTGTGTAGCTGAAGCACGGATACTTCCGAGTAATCTCATAAAGATATATGGACTGCAACACACTGCTGTAAATCAAAATTTCTCCATATAATGTGTTCATATTTCTTTGGTATGTGGATAATGCATTATACTTAGTGGCCTAGATAGTGCGCATTCTTAAAATAAAGGCCAATGGGAAGCAGTTTAGATAGATATAAGATTTGCATTGTTTCTAAAATAAATGGTGGAATTAATTTGTCAGTTT